TTTAAAATAAGGCCTCTCTGGGGGCGCCTGGGTGGATCAGTGGGTTAAAGCCTCTGCCTTCGGCTCAGGTCATGATCCCAGGGTCCTGGGATCGAGCCCCACATCGGGCTCTCTGCCCAGCAGGGAGCCTGCTTCCTCCTCTCTCTCCGCCTGCCTCTCTGCCTACTTGTGACCTCTGTCTGTCAAATAAATAAATAAAATAAATAAATAAGGCCTCTCTGAAATGCCATTGTAAGCTCATGCATCTTGGCCCAAACCCAATAACGAATCCATGGAATCAAAGGCCAATTTCAGATACTTTCTGCTTCTATAAATTGCATTCCCGATTAGCATATGAATCCGTTTCCATGGACATTATGATGTTGTATATTGTATGCTATCACTTCAGAACAGGATCTAGAAAACTAAGGGTCCTAGAATGGGAAAGGGACAGTCTTTTTGGTAATGAGACCAGATGGAATTATAACTTAGGCATAGAAACTATAAAAAACCCTACTGTAAAAATAAGAGGATTTTGTGTTTTAAAGGGACATTCTTAAATCTCAGTGAAATGAGACTATACGTCGTGTATGTTTTATTGTTACTTTCAAAAGGTTTTCAGATAGCCTTATGACATTAAAACTTAAGGCAGGGCACCTGGGTGGCTCAGTCGTTAAGTGTCTGCCTTTGGCTCAGGTTGTGATCCCAGAGTCCTGGGATTGAGCCCCATATCAGGTTTCCTGCTTGGCAGGAAGCCTGCTTCTCCCTCGCCCACTCCTCCTGCTTGTGTCCTTCTCTTGCTCGCTCTTTCTGTTAAATAAATAAATAAAATCTTAAAAAAAAAAAAAGGCAATTAAAAAACAGCTGAAGAGAAGGATGGAAGAATGAAGGAAAACGGTAGAGGAAGTAAGGGAAAGCACTATGGGAACAATAGTAGCCATTTCTCTTAACTTTCAGACTTCTCAAAATCTAAATTCTGGCAAAATTTCTTGGCTTCAAGCCTGCTGAATTGCTCTCAGCAGTGTCCTTTCTACCGTACAGCCAATGTACTGAGTTTTTCATGGTAACATTCTCAGGATGTGAAATTAATTCATTATAATAAATGCAGTATTTATCTTTTTTTGAGAATACTGGTCATAGTTGTGAAATTCCCCTAACTTTAATTCTTTTCCTTGGTATATTTTCATTAAGTTGTGTGTTTGATTCATAGTCATGGCTTCCTGCCAATATTGGGTGATTCTTGGTTGCATACCCATCTTAGTATGGATATTCCCTCATTAACATGCTGTTTACCACCCAACTTGCTTAAAGAAACGGCTCAGGATATTGTGTTTGGGAGATTCCTAACCCTGAGTGTAGGGGACAGTGGGACAAACTTCTAGGCAGGCTGTGTCAGTACCTAATGATCTGGTCACAGAGGGTCCTTTTCCTCTCGTTGTTTAACAAACGGAAGACTTTGCCCTGTGCCTCCAATTCAAGTATCCTTACTCTCTGCTTCTCTGCTCCAGCCTAGGAGAAATTATCCTTTGTTCTCTGACCCAAGGAGGGAGCGATTATATGCAGGAGTCAAAATGCCTAGCTACTGTCAGTTGCTCCAGAAGCCCATGCAATGCAGGTTCAAAGTCTGCCTAATTTGGAGTACCCTTGCAGCCATTCTCTTATCAACAATACCTTCCATCATGTACTTGGAATAATGAATCCATTGTTTCAGCTAGATTTTGTTTGTCTTTCATTTTCCAAGAATTTATCTTAATTGTTGGTTCACAGAATACACTATTTATGTTCTTGTGAGATTATAAATTAACTCTTCTACCATTTTTGGAGTTTAAGACAAGAGAAGGGAGCTATTGCAGATATTCCACCATTTTCGAAGTAAAAGTCTTTATTCTCAAAATGTTTTCAGGGATATGAAAAATGCAAAATTTAGTTGTGGAAATTTTTTTTTTCAGACTTAATCATTCCTATGAGAATCAGACCATTATCCCTTTTCTCTCCCCATTTCCACCATGACCATCTGTGATTGGCCAGGATAAGGCCTGAGGATATATAGGCCGGATGATCTACAGAAAACAGAGCTTGAAAGTGTGAACCGTGCAGCTAGAATCTCTTTGTGTGGTTAATAGATCTTTCATGTTGATGTGGTTCCCTCCGAGCCCAATGGTGTAACATTGCCGCAGCTCATGGGTCTAGGCTCCTATGTCTTGGAGGTCTCATCATTGCTCCTTGTGGACTGTCAAGACCATAAGCTTTGGAACTATGGAGACTCTAGAGAACCTTACAACAAGGCAATGAGATAGATGTTCTCTCTTTTCAGCATTTTAGGACAAAGAGTCTCAGCAAGGTTAAGTTCTTTGAACTCATAGCACTAATTACAGAGTCGAATGCTGAACTTGCTGGTCCAAAGTCTGCTTTGCTAAGCCAAAAAGCCTTTCTTCAGTGCTGGACTTAGTAAAGCATATGTTATGTTGGCTCCAGCCATTGTGATGTACGGCACACTTACATCTGGTGATATATTACTGGATGTCACATCAGTTCTGAATTTTCTATTGTGCCTTGAGCATATGGTAAAAACGTAAAAGGCATTCATTTGAAAAGCTTAGATTATGATTGTCAGTCTGTCAGCTTCAAGGCCGGTAATAATATTCTGCCAAGATGTATAAATTAACCTTTGTTCCAGAGAAAAGGAGATCATAAACTGGTCACAGAATGCCACACATTTTTATTGATAAACATATCAGGTAAAAGCAAGATTCAGGTCATGGACTATCTATTACGTCAGTTAAAGTTGGGCCTAATGCTCAGTGTAGGAAGCCTTTTCCCGTCTTCTCAGTGGTTTCCTAGGAGTAGGTGTGTTCTCTGAGCATGTGTGTGTGTGCATTTGCCAATTTAGGTCTTGGTCTTATAGGTATATATGTTCCTTCAGTATTGAGACCAAGTTTTCTACTCTGCAATATCTCCCCTTAGTATATTTCCTCCTGTCGATGGTTTTAACAATAATTGAATTCAATTCAATCTATGTGAATTATAACAAGTAAAAGATTTTATAACACTGATTTTTAAATATTCTTAAATACGATTCTAAATTTTAACTATATTATAATAGAGAACAGTGTGAACTGAGTAACCTGAATGTTAAATCCCTCATTTTGAACATATTTTAAAAGATTTGTTTTATAGTTAAGATAATGAATCATCCATATTACCATCGTTAATACTCTCATACAGGAACATGATGATACTTAGTGACTATTAGAAATCTACTCAATGTAGGAAAAGCATTTTGAAGGAAAAAAAAACACTGAGATTAAATAATTTATTACCATGGCTAAGATGAACACATATACTTGATACTCAATTTTATGCAGAACTTTAAAAAAATAGTTTTAATACAGTATCAAAATTTACACAAGTATTTTGTCAAAAGACCAGTGTTCCTTGTATTAGCTATCTGCAGTGTCTACTGCAGGCACAAAAACTTGTTTTAAATGTCCTCAGAGCATAGGAATACAACAATTTAAGGATGGAAGCTTTTCTACAAGAGAAGGTGTAAATATAGCAAGCAATTTTCTTTTACAGAGTAATAATATAACATTTCAAAAGAAAGATGAGCTTAACTGGTAACCCAATTACAATAATTAGATAATTCTATAGTAAATTAATTCATAAATATTTTCGGAAAACAGAGGGCTGTTTTTTCATCACAGTAACATTTTAAGAAGTGTAACAAAATTCCTTCACATTTCTTCACCAATAACAATTAATACACTGTAATGAGTCCATTTAAAAACAACAGCAACAATGAATATCTGCTATGAAGCCAATCTGAGTAATTTAGAAGAAATCTAAAAACTGGGAATTGTTGCATTCCTACTTTTATAATTGTAAACTACAATAAAAACTTAGCATTCTGTCACAGGCCTCTTGCACATTCATATAAGAAACTATCATTGCATCTGAAAAAACACAATACCTATCATAGCATTTCCAATACACACAGTCTAATATTATGTGTATTTATATATATACCAAAAATAAGAAACTAAGCAAAGCTAGCACACCTCGTTTTCAAACCTCAAGCAATCTGAACAAGAGCTTTTAGCCTCAATGAAGGACATGCGTCAGTTTCATAAAACTGTTAGCTGCTGTAGGCAAAGAAAGCTTTTTCATAAATGCGGTGCAATATTTTAAAGTTTACATAAAGTTTTAAATATAACAGCAGATCTAGAAACTAAATTGTAGAAATTGACATCTCACAGCTGGAAACACTTAGAAAAATTAGGTTTGCTTGTTCTTTAATTGGAATTAATATTAACATCAATGGATACACTGAATGAATATGGAAGTTGGTATATCCCCAAGATGTGTCTTCATGAATATAGCAAGATTAAAAGAAAAGCTATATTTATCCTGATCCCTTAAAATAAATGGTACTCTCTGAAGAGCACTCTACAAAGTCTTGCTACGCTTCTAGCTGGTAAAGAGAATTTATGTAGTATTTTTAGCACCTCAAAAGTCAAAACAAATATCCCAGAAACCTTATCTTACATCCAAATTCATTATGCATCAGGAATTCGTAATTGTTGACTATAATAGAAGAAACAGGTGCCTGCCTCTCAAACTTGGAAAGCTGGAAGACACCTCTTCCTCAACACAGTGTGGTCGAAAAGTCCCACCGTTCTGTGCAATGAGTCAACTCCACCAAACTGGATTCTTCCAATCATGCAGGTTTCTCAGTGACAATCTTAGATCTGAGGAGTCAAAAACATTTTAGTTCTAATGAAAATACTGGTACCCAAATGGTAATTTTCAAAGCTGTCTGAAATTGACTTGAGATGAGCTATTGTGGACATGGAAATGAGAGATGAAATACAGCATCAGTAATACTAAAGGTTTTAGAGGGAAAATATGTGCAATGTACAATCACTCCAGGTTATTCAATGAGTCCAGGTTTGTGGAAACCCACTTTTTTCTTCTTTTATCTCTCTCTGGCAGTGGTGATCTCTTGTTTGAAAGACTGCCTTTCACATCGGTCCTTTGTACTGGTTTCCAGACAAATGTTGCCTAATCCCAGGACAGGAACCTGCAGCATCTCCAAGTTTCCTCCACACAACCTTAAGAAAGGTAAAATTAAGTAAGTAAGTAAGTAAAAATATGGGTCATAATTGCGCCTCCACAAAGAGAGTTGCGGTTTTTAAATGGGGATCTATGAAGGGGCAAAGAGAAATGTGAAGACGAGACAAAATATGTCCATGAATGAGCTCAAACACAGTGAAATGTGATGGAAGTTTCTAAATCACAAGAGCTGTTCAGTAGAGGGAACTGCTATGCTTTGTTGGCAATGAGGGTCGAAATTAAAGAATGACGTGCCAACTTACTCTAGGTACATGGGTGGTCCTCAACTCCAGCTGTACACTGTGCACTTGAAGCTTACACAGTAAGTCCCACTCTCAGATTGCACTGGTAGAGGGGAGGCATGGTCATCGGTATTTTTAAAGCTCCTAATATAATTCTGGATAGCCATAACTAAGAACACATGAGCAAAATCACCCTGGTTTCTATATCCTACATCTTGAACCAGGGATACCAAAATGTTTACTCCACCAAGTAAAGGAAGTTTTTGTTCTTGAGCTATTTTAAGCCCTGAGCTACTAGCCTTAGGCCACAAGTAAATTTCCCTGGTTGTTCCTACAGAGTGGGGGGTGGCCCCCTCGGTCACAAATCTTAGCTACCAAATAGTACACTCTCTCAGATTATCAAAGCAGAGAGCATACAAATGCAGGAATAATACTAAGAATACATTCAAGAATCACCAAATAGATACAATATGTCAAAAACTGGGTCATTTTAGAAAGACGATAGCAAAAGGTGAGATTAAGAAACCAAAGTAAAATCCCTGAATACACTGATGATATACCAATATGCTAATTGGAAAATGTACTCCCTTCCCCCAATTAACAGTCATAAACCTCCTTAGGGTGATTGACTATAAAGATTATTTTCAGATTGATTTATTCCCCCAAATTTATATAGCTCTAACATGAACACAAAACCAGTTGGTTCATTATTGAAAGACGGTTTCTTTTTTTTTTGTTTTCGCATTTATTTTAAATAGAGCTGATACTTTAGGGAAACCCAATACAAGTCATTGTTACACATAAGAATACAGCATTCTGTCTACCTTCATTTCTAAGCCAATTTTAGCGGACACAACTATGTGGTAGAAATGACCCGTCCTATTTGAAGAGGAGTATATTGATGGTCCTTAAATAGTAGGAGATGAATGATCTAGCAATGGAGGGCTCCACCTGCCCACAAGAGTTAGGGAAAGTCTCATTTCTTAATAGACAGTGAAAAGGAGCCAACATTGAATCGGAGAGCCAAGGGATGCTACAGACTTGCCCTTTCTAGCCCTTCCATGGTACACACAAACACTGCTGACAGCAGTGCTTTAAATGTCTCGCTGTATCCTCTGCTGCTAAGCCAAAGACCTATGGCTTAGCATTAGACAGTTACAACTCCAAAGTGCTAGTGCTCCCCAAGTATTCAACTGTAGGATGCCATAGGCCTTAACCCTGAAATTACCATGTGGTGGAAGGAGAGTCCGAGAAGGCAAAATTCTGAAATGAGCCAATGATACTAAGGAGGGCGCAGAGTAGGGACTTGTTAACTAAAAGCAAGACTAGGTGGGTGTCTGAATCAGACAGACACTTTTTCAGCTCTTCTCAGGGAATTTGCAAGAGTCAAACTTACCTAAAAAATGAATATATTGCACTGTAAGAAACCATTAAATCTATTTTTGTGATACAGTTTGGAAAGAGAATAAAAGTATCTCTTACTAATCAACATGATGCTAACAGTCACTTCTTTGTATAGATGTTGACAACTGATCTCCAGGAGGCACAGCAGAAACAGAGGCAAAACTTACTAACCTAAGCTCTAGCTGAGTCTTCGACCTGACCTCACATTATAAGAAAACTTTGTATTTCTGTGACATTATTATATAAAGCACATAGTTCCTTCACTAGGCTTAAGAACCTTAGCTAGGTTCTAAGAAATTACTTATCTGTTAAAATTGCTCACAATCTGTTTTTCTCTTTATTCTCCAGTATGCACTATGAGTGTTCGGGGGTCATATAATTTATAATGGTGACAAAAACATTTAAAATCAACACCTTGTTCTCTTAGCTTTTAAAGAGTTTCCAAATGTAAGAGTGCTAATCATCGGATTTGCGTTGGCTTGCATTTTTTTATCAAACTTTGGGAATCAAGTACAAAAGTAGACAGGAACTGCTAACGGCAAACAAGGAGGGCAAGCTTTTGGCTTCCTGAAAATATCTTCTACAGGGAAAACCACCCCTGTCATTGCATATGGTCTTCTGAAGCACTTTTGGAAATACAGGCCAACAAAAAGATAGACACGAACTAATCGAGACTCAGTCCGTTTCTTCTATGACTAAGAAATGAATTATCCAATGTCCGGAAGTCTTTTATCTAAAACAAAAAGGCAAGAAATAAAGCAATCCTGACACGTATTTTTTACAGAACTTCAGGAATTATGAAAAGTAGAGAGGGTCCCTTCTGGAAGATGCATTGCCTTTCATTCTTGGGGAAAGAAAGTGCAAGTCCCCAGATTTACCCTACTTGGGATAGTGGTGATTGCTGGTACTCAGAGGACATCTGGGTATAGTCCTGACTTATTGTTCATTAGAGAACAATTCGAGAGAGCAGCTTTATTTTGGGATTTTAACTTCTTACAAACACAAAATGCAACTGTGGGGATCCTACCCAGAGCTCCTTCTCCAAACTGCCCAGGGGCTGGGGTGAAACCCACCCCCTGAATTACAAAGGATCCTGTTGTACTTCTCTTTGGAGAACCACCGTTGGAATGATCTCTGTGCTTCTTTCTGGTTCTAGAACTCCTAATGTTTGAACTTTCTTACTCCATAGTCAAGAGATGAAAAGCAACAGGATTTTTTTTTTTTTTTTTTTTTAAGTGTGTGGCTTAACTATTCGACTTGATCTGAAGGACATACTCAAATTGAAAACTGTAAGGACAGGCTGAAAAGCTACAGAAGGTGTAAAGGGTGGTGCATTGGGGAAATTATGACTTCTAGAACTAATGACCTTTTGAAAACAGATGAAAACAGATGCAGGAAAGAAAAACAGCTACAACACAAAGAAGCAGGAGAATAAAACTGTGGCCCCAGCACATATAAAATGCCCAGGGGACTTAAAACATTTATTGGATTCCAAGAATACCTCAAGGAAGTAGATACATGAGAATATCTGGTCCTAATAGCTTAAAGGTATTTCTAAGCAATTTTGATACCCTCATGGACAAAGAATGTGAGGACAAAAGTCCAATAGAGCCAGTTAAAATCAGTGCTTAATATAATCTGGTTGTTTTAGCTTTTTAACAAACTTTACCAATTATACTCTTGTGAATTCTTGGATTAAATGATATACCCATGCATATTACTCAAAATTTAGCCAGGGATTAATAATAAAATCCAAATCCCATTATTGATATGCATCAAAATAGTATGTCAGTTTTTTTTTTTTTTACTGTGTTCTACTCTTATTTCTATGTGTCTATCTCTTATGTTCATATATATTTCCTCTTAACCATTTTCTGAGCTTTTATCCAGCACTGAAAGGTAATGATACTACTTTATGCGACATGAAGTGCCCATATCACATGACTTTTAAACACTGACTTTTAGGTACTGCTTGAAAGTATAAAACAGAAACCCATTTCTCAAAACTAGCATCACAATGTTAGACAATAAACAATTTAAAAATGTTCATAGATCATTCTGGAATCCAGAATTGGCTGATTGTTGCTTACCTCAATATGGCTGTTAATAATACTGCAATAAAATATGCTAAAGATAAGAAGAGGAATTGGTTTTATTTTTATATTAAAAAAATAAAGGCATTTGGCCAGCATTTTGAAAAGTAGGTATCCATAAAGTGGTAACTAATCTATGATGGGGCTTTCAACACAGAATACACAATAAAGCACATTAAACTTACATTGCACATTTCTCTGACTATAGCTTTTTCTGTCTCACTAAGGTCATTTTCATACTCTTTACCCTGTTGACGATCTATAGTTTCCTGAACATCCAAGACCTGGATTTGTTGAAAAAGAAAAGCAAATTTCACATGGAAAAAAACTTGTTAGTTATGAATTAAACCATCAAGGAGCTCCACTTTGTAAAACCTTTGGTTTTCTCCGTGTCTGCGTATCAGAGTGGATTACTATATGGCAAATCTTTTAAAAGGGATCAATTCTACTTGATTTTCAAATGGCCATGAAAAGCAATTGTATCACTAATAGTCAATTGAATGTATCTAATTATTGGAGACATTAATGAATTTAGTTAATTGGGTCATTAAGATAATGTGACTATGTCCACCATTTGGAGAAATTCTTGCTCCACTGTAAAGGTGAGCAATATAATTAACGATCTGCCAAATAATCCAAATGATATGTAGACATGGCCTATAGAAAAGAGGACTAAAGGAAATGATACTGACAGGTGAAACCGGTCAGAACCCAAGAATATGTACATAAGAACTCGAGTGAACATGAACGCTACTGGCATCACAGTTCTTGCCTGGACATGTTCCCAGGGCCTAGAAAAGGCCTATGAAAATGGTTCTTTGATAATATCAAAGAGAAAAACTGACTCCTTTCAGTGAAAATACTTGAGCAACACTTTATATTTCATTAGAGCAAAGAAAGAAAGTGTTGGCATGAGATGCTTTTAAGCAATTTTAGAGGCCTCTGATTCCACTTCTTTTACGTTATCTCTAAATGGATTCTAAATATTTCTTCAAATAGATTTAAAAGTTTTCAGGCCATACTTTCTATAGGTCAAAAGGGGAGAAAACTTTGGTTTGAGTGTAATTTTTCTCTATATCCTTTTCTAAGCTAAAGCACTAATAAAGCAAAAAGACCCAAGAAAACAAAGCCCCCAAAGTAACGCTTTTCCTAAAAGCTCCAAGAATCCCCACTGAATTGTGACATTGCTAAACTCCTTGGTTCTGTTGTTATCATGGTCAGTGCTAATGGTCACACCTAAAGGCGTCGCCTGAGAACTAGCACCAGTGAACAGTTGAGCCAAAATAAATGACTTAAGCATGAAGCAGGACCTTCATGTCCAGTTCATAGATAGTTTGCATGGATATTTACTGGAGGTCAGTCCTGCAATAATCTAATTCACAAACTATTCCTTTGTTAACTCAAAATGTCTAGCCATTATTACTCTGTAGGTACTACTACTTTCAGAGAGGATATCACAGTAGTAAAGGAAAGAGTCACCCTGCTACTCCAATTAGAATCTGTTCACATTCTTTATATAATCAGAGGAAATCTTGACTATGCTCCGTGAATATTCATAGAAAACTTAACTCCTGGAACAAGCTCATTTGCCTACAAATTCAATTTCTAATGCACCTCAGAGAAGTGTACTTCAACTCAGTTAATTTCTACTAAATGAAGTGAAGCTCCAATTAATAGCATGAATTTTAAAGCAAGATAAATGTGGTGTTATTACAAGTGGGCTAATTTCTCACACTGATTTATAACACTTTTCTCCCAAACCACAGCCATAGAGTTTGTTTGTTTTAGAGCCTAGAGATTTTGGTGGTTGGTGGCGGGGCGGGGGGCGGGGGGAGGGGTTGGTGGGGAATCTATCAGAAGATGAGAAACTGAGCCATTGTTTTAATTCTTTCACAACAGAGAAATTTTACGTTATAAATCAGCTCTAGGATCTATGGGCTTTTGAAAACAAGACATATTGAGTGGCTACATTTCTTCTTTTAGGCTGTGATATCCCTAAGATGCATTTCCCAGAGAGAGTATGTCCCATAGGCACATATTTCTGTTTCATGACACAGTTAACTCATGGAAGCAAATGTATTTTGTATTCAAGAGCCTCCCCTTAGCCAATAAAGATGCTTCAGTTGCTCAGTACTACCCATCTGCCGAGTGAGGACACTTAACATGTTCTGATTATAACATAATTATTTTTCTCTCTTAAGATAAAAATTTTATATGAAAATTAGAGAACGAATTCAGAGAAAATTGAAGAGCTCCTCCTTGCCCTTCCCTTCCCTTTTAAGCCATAGGTACACAGGTGCAATGAAAAATTGAGGAAAGATTGCAGTGCTATCCCCTATGCTGATCTGACTCAAAAACTACACTTGCCACTTAATAAGGCAATGTGCAGAAGCAGTCTTCAATCCGAAAAGTAGAGCAGAGTATGTGCAGATGCTAATAGTACAGGACTAAAGACACTCATTTTTTCTTTCTAAGATGCTCTTCTGATAGCCAACATCTGGTTCATGCTCAAGTAACAGCCCGTTTATCAGGCTGCTCATGCTACACGACATCCAAATGCTACCACCCAGAGCAAGACGGTGGTCAGTTGATAAAACAGCCCCCACTGGCTGCACGGCGGTGCCCTCATTCTGCTGTGTCATCCCATGCAAATTCCTCTCGGTTCCTCACTTGGTGAGTTATTCCAACCAAGACGGAAGTGCCAAGTGCACGGCCCTGGCCAGCTGCATGGTTCTGCTACCTTCCCACATCTGCAATCAGTATATGCTTGGGAGGAGCAGCTCATTTCATGGAAGTTACAGCAAAATATAATGGGGGAGCTATATCTCCTGCTGAAACCAAATCCAATACATATTCTGAATTTCTTATCTGGTTATTTGCTTTATGCATGCCCCAGAAAGTGTGGCCCACTCCAAAAGAGTGCATCTTAAGGCTGCTGATAAATCATTCCAAAACCAAAACCATTTTAGTAAAGCTGTGAAACTCCAAGGGCAAGGACAGGACTGAAGCATGCTACCTACCTGATAGCTCCGAAAGGTTTGATCAAGGCTACGTGTTAGGAATTACAGATAATTTGAAGGACAGTGAGTCATACCTTGGAACTGATAAAATTTCAGGGAACTGTCCTAATTGTTAAGGTGATTTTTATTGCCTGTATCAGTTTCTTCTCAGATAATATATTATTAATTTTACTTATGGTGCTTACCTATTAGAAAACTCACTATTGGTAAAGAAAATAATACATTTCAGCTGGATCTTTTTGACAGATACTTGGAGGATCTGAAGTAAAAACCAAAAATAAAACTAGCGTTATAAGACCTTCTGTTTTCTAACACTCTATGGAACAGCATTAACTAGAGTTTGAAGACCTAATTTCCAGTTAATGGGGTGACAGAGGAGGTTTTTAGTTCAAGATTTTCTTTTAGTCATGGCACCATGTACTTCACTTGCATCCAGAAAGAAAACTCAGGTATCCTTCCTTATTTTGGCCAACCCTTGAGACCCTCTTTTGAAATCATGCATGCTAAAGACACTGCCCATCAAATACCCAGAACAAGAGTTTACACACATGGATATACATGCACATCAGACTTCAACTTCAATGCAGAGTGATATGAATCACATTACTCAAAACAAAATGATAAAACTAGAGATTTTTCAACCAGAAGTACTCAAACTCATAGTTGCAAAAAAAAAAAAAAAATTCAAAAATTAAAGTCTCTACAGTTAAAACAAGACTGTGAGGACTACCAGACCAGAGCAAACAAGCCACGACACAACTGAAATTCTGGATCAACGATTGGACACAGTTGGTTACCTTAAGAGAATGTACCACGGGTTCAGGCTGCTGAGAAGGTGTGGTATGTCCACTGAAGCTAGCTGGAGAGTTGGGTGGACTGTTACTCCCATCAGCCCCAGATGACAACCTAAAAGAACCCTTAGTAGAAAATCAACAACTTTGTTATTAAAACAAAAGTCGTCTAATAACTGCATAGATGTCATTCAGTATTCAATTTCACTGCCAAATGAGAATCAGCTGCTTAGTTACGTTTTTTCTAGCCTGCCCTAAGATGCTCTCAACCTGTTAATTGGAATACGCTTGCTGCTTGACCAGCAAGAACACTTAAGCAAGAGCCATCACTATGCATGTCCAGATGTCATTCCTGATTTGCCAAAGAGAACAATGCCCCCTCAGGAATGCCCATTAAGAACATTTCAAGAATGATTTTTAAAACTTAAAGATACTCAAGAGTAGGGAATTTGCGAGATACTCAGCAGCTGAGTTAAACATGCTCACTCAGCAAGACAAATGGTATATTCCATATGTCTCAGGAAATATGCACACATTTCATTCTTGCATTGGAGAAATGGTGTGTCTTATAAAACCCTTCTTGGAGGCAAAGACCTAAAGCGGAGCATTTTCCAAAGACATTTACCCAAACTCAGCATTTGCTTTAAGGTAGAATTATTTTTTGTTTAAAAATAAATAAATAAATAAATAAAATAAAAAACTATGGCCACAAATTACATATTTGTACTTATGTGACTCTTTGACTTCATTGCTGAAAAACCAGCACTCGGGCAAGATTAACTTGGTCTATGAGAATCCTCGCCACCCATACAGGAACTGGGAAAAAATAAAACTTCAATTATGTCCCCTCCTAGAAAAAGCAGCCAAATGGGAATTTCCTGAACCTGTTCTTATGGAGATCATGATACTCAAAGGGCCTGAGAGAATTTAATTTCTGCCCAGCAAATCTACAGATTTTCTTCATGCCTAACAGATTAATAACTGCTCCATTTCCCTTGATCTTATGACTAATACCCTGAGAAGGAGCCACTGAGGGTAGCTTCATAAAGGGAAGACACAACTGTGCTTAGGGACATTTATTTTCCAGCACCTACAGAAGAGCTTCTGTGTTGTGCATTTTAGGGATGGGAAGGGAGGATCTGATAGCAGCAACAGGTACCAGTATGGGTTTTATGCAGACCATATTCTTTGTAGAGAAGTTGACAACTTCCATTGATTTTCACAAAGATGGTCATTTCTGCAGTTTGGAGAATCTTCCCCCTTCCCTTGCCACTCTTTCTTCCTATGTCCTTGAAGGCTATCCTTGCCACATCACAAGCCAACTAGAGCCATGTTCTTTTCCTTGCTCAAAGAAATATACAATCAAATTGGGGGCTGCCCCCATCCTTACTAACCACCAGGGAGAGGAAGCCATGGAATAGGACATTTAGCAGACCTCTCCAGCTCTGTCCTCTACTGCTACTAATGATTATGTTAATAGCAGGTGATGACATAGGAAAGCCAATTATGATAGTCCCAACACCTTCTGGGGGGAGAATGTCTGTTTCCCTGTATTTGTAATTCAGATCAGATCAGACATAATAGTGCCTGAAACAAATAATAGAAACCAGTTATCATTGATTTTAGACATTCTTTCAAATCTAATGCCCCCAAAAGATCAAAGGCCCCACACCCAAGCAAAAGCACGCTAGAATTGATATGCCTACATTTTTCCAGCTCTGGGAAGGGAACATTTGAAACAGAAGGGCTGGGCAGCAGAAGGTTGGACAGGAAGGGCTGGAAGGAGGGATAGCTAAAAATTATGGCCTGCCCGGTGAGATTAGCAACCAGAGGCCCACCTGCATTGCACTGGTGCATCCTAAATGAGAAGTTTGAAGCAGATAGGAAAAGGGAATAGTAGGGAACCAGAGCTCTTCAGAGAAGAGCTTCCTTCAGAACCCCTTCATTTTGGAAACATTTCATCTCTATACAGGAAAAGGGTGTCCAAAATTTGGTGGTGATGTTGGGGGTAATGGTGGGCCCCTTCACCACCTTAAAACTTCTAATAAGTTTCCTTCTATTATTGGTTTCGGTATGCTAGCATTGTTAAAACATAAGGAGAGTACTGTTCTTCCCTTAAACACTATTTTTTGAAATAATAACAATGGCTAAAGTCTGAACTGCCCAGTGGGGAAAACTCATTCAGGGATTAAAGTTCTCCTTCTGTGCCAAGGACTAGTTATCACTGGAAAGATCATTGTTCGTATTTTATGTGGTTTTTGGTAAAGTCACGAAGGTAAGCAAATGCCTGGTAAAGTTGTATACCAACAGGTGCTCCGTCCTTTTCTAGATTATAACACAATCAAGCACTTCATTCAATCAAATCCCATTTAATTACTCTAAAATAAAAGGCGATGTATCTTTGTAACTGATATTTGAAGAATTATCTAGGTTCAAACAATATCCCCTCTTAGTTGACTAATACATTTTCACACAACTGTTTTTAAAATATGCTGATTGGAATGCTAGTGAAACAACTGATTTCAAACAGTCCCTTGGAATTTTTTACAATAACATCAAGCCTGTTTGTTTAAATTGTGACTTGGCTGCCTCAAGGAGACAGGGAATTTAAAAAGAAGAAAATCTTAATAAAACTGGAAATGTGATTCCCAGCTTCCAGGTTGTTTTCCAACGACACGTGATTGCATAGTGCACGCACCACCTCTTGGGTCAGTGAGCACTTTTAAAAGGCAAGGAATAATTTTCTGGGCTGGTCTACGGACAATTCATTTACATGGCCAGGGATCTTTTAAACTTCTTTTCCTGAAAGGTGCATGGTATCTTTATTCTGTTGCTTGAGGTTACTCAACTTTCAACCCCAAGTTCAGGAAACAAAACAAAACAAAAAAAAGCAAAACAACAACACTGACGCTGATCGTTTAGGAGATGAAAGACTCGACTCCCAGCTTCCCTCCCCAGAATACACACACACAGCAACTTTCTTTCATGTGTACAGATTTGCTCTCTACCCCCCAGTGTCACTTTTCCTCTAGCAACAAAAGCCATCTGTATGCACAAGCAAATGCAGCAGCTGACCCATCTTCACTCACCGGGAGAGTGGGCAGGCATCGTCCTATTCCTCGGCACCCTTGCCACCACTGCAAGACCCGCCGGGCTCTGGGCCCCCAGCCTTTCTCCATATTTGAGCTGTTTCTAGTTGGAGGTTGCCTTCTATTCTGGGTGGCCTTATATTTGGAACAATATAGTACAATCACTCAGAAAAATACTCTTTCCCAAGTCTCAAGAAAGCAGATAGAACAAGAAGCTTAATGAAATGAACCACAATGACCACAATGGCAAGCTGTAACATGCACCTCGAATTAGGGAAAAAAAATAAAGTAAAACCGAAGTCCTGTCTATTAGAGCTAATAATGATTTTTTTAAAAAAAGTTTTTGACTAATTCTTAAGTTACTGAAAAGAGATAGGTGATAATGCCAAACTTCCAGAAAAAACTGAAGCTACTTAGGCAACTTTGTTTATTTGGTTTTACTTGTGAGAAACAGAGAATTAACCGTTAAGTCTTCTTCGTGTTTAAAATTATTCGAAATGCAGTTGGGAGCACTGCACTCTTTTGTTAAGCAACACAAGGTGGGTAGATATATTCACCAACATTTAGAAAAACTGACACTGTATCAAATTCTCAGCAACATTTGTGCACATTGAAGACTGTGTAATGAGCTAAGAGGTCATCGCTGCATTAAAATAACTTTTACATGGGCTGTATACATCATTATCAAAATATCTATTAATCAGTTAATCTCCAAATTTTTACACTTGTTAGAACTAGAGATACCAGATAAATAAAAATTTTCGTTTTTTTCTATGGCTAAATAGCATAATTCTATTAAAACAATCAGAAGAAAACACTTTCCTCTCCCTGACAACTTACACTAAGACCCTTATCTAAGTGTGCCCATCTTAATAAGAATTTTTTTTAAATATAGAAAATTCACCAAATAGTACCCAAATTCTGGTGTCTGAATGTTTAATTTTAGGAGGTTGAAAATGACAACATAATTCTTCAATTCCCACTGATCTCTTTTTGTAGAAGCGTATGCTGTGTTGTGAATAGCACTGGCCTAATTTCCACTCTTCTCCAATGTTCGGAGGCTGAACAATGAAAAAAGAGTAATGATGACCACAGCTGGTACTCGCAAATCTCTCTTCTGAATCTATGGAATCAGTAGAACCGGTTACCTATTAAATAAGTCAGCCACACATATTCCTCACATGTAACAGAGCAAATTATATATTTAGACTATGATGATCATTTCATTGTTCGCAACACGGATTTGAACATGGCTCTTTAAGTGATCATCTCATGTTGTCAGTATCTAATTTCTTCTCATCAAAAGAATTCTATCCAATAATTTATGTGGTTTACAGCTTAAAATCCACCTCTCAACCATAGTTCTATTTCTGAGATAATCATTAAAAAGTACGGTATTTTTTTTTTCTTACAAATGAGTCCTATCTTCCAGATTTGGTTCCCTTCATTACTTACACATCTTAAACATCTCTCAGATTTTACATTTCCAGATTCAATGACTGAGTAAGACATACAGGGATTCCTACTTCCCTTTTCTTTAATGTGTAGTGAGATTGAATCTCAATGCCTCTCCAATGTAACAAGCTCATTATCATAACCATAAAATCTAACATCTATAACTATTTAGAAGGCTGCTGGAAGGAGCAGCCCTTTAGCTACAGTATTTCCCCACTTTTGTAAAGTAGATACAACACGACATAATAGCTGTGCCTTTCAGCATCTTGTAAACGGTTCTTTTAAAACATTATATATAGATTGCATAGTATTATTAATCTCATAAGAGGGGGCAGTATATATAGGCCAGATTTTCATGGAAGAATAAACTACTTGATGGTATAGCCATTTTAATTTTAAAGGGAAAGATACTCTTCGAATGAGGTCTATTGACTTTCTACTCATGCTGGCAACTTTAAAAACAAAACAAAACTCCAGGTCATGCAAAAATGTATTCTGGACTGGCCATCAATTTGACCTTCAAGTACATTAAATGGTATATATGTACCAATGAAAGCTTAGCTCTCTCTTAGCTCTACAATGGTCAATCACACTATTTTCTGAAGGCTACCTCATAAAACATAATAAGCCTCACTAACTCTATAGGTAGAATTGTTTTTGGCAACTTCAGAGCTTGAAGCAGGGGAGTGCAGATTCTGGCCATCAACCAGGAGAACAACCTCAAACCTTAAAAAAGTCCTTTCTATTTTTTGAGGAGTTCTATTTTTGCTTGGTTTTGTTTTCTGCAGTTTTCCAAAATTCCAAACTTACAAAGAATGCCTGAATGACGCTACTATTCCCCTAGACGTCTGTGTACTCGTCAGCCACTTTATATCCAGGTAAATCCAGTTGATTTAGGTATCAGGAGGACCACTCTAAATGCTAATAGCAAAGGAATGCTCTGCGTCAAGACTGAGTGGGAGGTAAATTACAGATTACTTACTGTGTGGTAAGTACTCATTATAGAGATCATGAAATCTAATGCTGTAAGCAAACACCCTAGATCAAGACACAAAAATATCCCTTACTATTACTGAAGAAGATAAAATGTATTGGTACTGTTATGTCTCTTATCACATGATATCTGGAAGATGTTTTTCTAAGAAAATTGGAACTTGAGATATTTTCTAGTATTGTCCTTACAATACAGACTTCTCCTCAGAATTAAGGGAACAAAAGAAGCTACTCAGTTTTTAAAAGATCATCTAAACAATAAGAAAATATATTAATTATGGTCTTATTGGATAAAATTATTATAATTCATAACAGTAGTTTTAAGAGAACCAACAAGAGGAAGTAATTGTGATTAAGTTGTCTTCTTGCTATTTTATGGTTATATTTCTTTTATTGTTATTTTAGTTGGCATTCTGGAAGCTTCCATTCTTTGGCCTTCCAGAAGTACATATTAAAAGTCTTTAACACAAAAAATGTGTTTTTATATTTTATCATATAAAATACAGGCTTCCCACTTAGATATAAATCAGATGTAATACATTTGTAACAAACTTTGGAGTCCGGCCCTCTTATCTATTATAGGAAGCCAACTATGGAAAGCTAAAGATTGATCGGCTAAAGTGGTTTCCTGTTAGTTAAAGATGTTCAATTTTTAATAAGGTCTGAAGCTAGGTCAAACTATCATATGGTACATCAGAATGCATACTTAGTTGAGGATGGAGGATGAATTTTCTTTCCTTCTTATGGGACAAAGAATGATGCTTTGCTTCATTTCATCAGGAAAGTACTTTGTTCAGTTTGACCAGTCTTCATTCTGACATACTTTTTACGAAACTGCACTAGCACACAAACAGAAGCTTTAGAGGTTACCTTGACAGATCTTTTCCAAAAGATTCCTGTGAATGAGCATAGAAATGCTGAGACCCTCTGCTCTAATACATGACAGTTAGTTGGCTGTATTCAAAGTGTATTTTTATTTTTCTTAAAGGTTTTATTTGTTTATTTGATAGAGATCACAAGTAGGCAGAGAGAGAGGGGACAGCAGGCTTCCCACTGAGCAGAGAGCTCGATATGAGGCTCAATCCCAGGACCCTGAGATCATGACCTAAGCAGAAGGCAGAGGCTTTAACGAACTGAGCCACCGAGGCGCCCAGAAAGTGTATTTTTAAAATTGAAATGAACTAATGTAAGGAATATTTTCAATACCAATTTAAAATAGTAAGCAGTTTCCTAGATTTATGGCTATTCATTTATTCACTTAAATATTTACTAAGGAGCTATCAAGGTAACGTCCCATGCTATGCCAGGTAGATATCTAATCCAGTAACTTTTTGTGTAAAAAAAAAAAAAAAAACAGCACAGTAAGTTCAAGTCATTGACTTTAGAGGTCACACTGCCTGGGTTCAGAATCTTGGCCAGACCCCAAGCCTCAGTTTCCCCATCCATAAAGTGTGGGTACTTATGATACAAGGGTGCTTCACTCGATGAGGCTACTTATATGAAAAGAGCTCTTAAAATGGCGTCTGGCTTACATCAAATGCTCTGCAGCAACTTGTTGTCCTTATGAATGTGTTTGCTTTGCTTATCAACACATTTTATAATTTATATGTCAACCTACTTTCATATGTTCATTATCCAGAGTAGTTCTCAACCTGAGGTGAGCTGGCCCTCCAACGGGGACATCTGGCAAAAATGCAGACATTTACTGGCTGTTAAAATTGGGCAATTTCTGTGGGGCATTTATGGGTTGAGGCCCAGGACACTGCTGAATGCCTGACAATGCCCAGGTCAGCCCCCATAACAAAGAATTATCCAGCCTCAAAGGTCAACAGTGCTCAAGTTGAGGAAGTCTGATTTAGAGAAGGAGAACTGCACTGGAAAACAGCAAAGCCACATTTCTGGCAACAGCTTCGTAGATTCTGCAGATGAGGGTAAGTGTCCCCCCGATTTGGTGATTGGGATGATTTTAAAGGAAACTCTCTCAGCTTCAGCCCTCAAGTGGTCCAAGTATATAGACATCTACCTTCCCACCCCCAAAAATAGGAAATTACTCTTTCTAACAGAAGGGAAAGAATTAAAAACACCCCAGACATCCTACTGTTAACAACGCTAGCAGAAACACAATACAAATGGGCAGTACAGGGCAGGGGTCCTAAGAACGAAGAGCTCTCTGATAGGAGACGGAGAGCATGCTGCAAGCACCTTAAGAATCGAGACACCAATCCCACAGAGAATTAAATTGGCAGAAGGCGCTTTTCTGGAAATGATGAAAAGAAATAAAGCTTCCTTAGCAATATGGCAGGTGGAGATCCGGCACTCAATTTTAAGCAGTTACACTAGGAAAGAAAACAATTGCCAGCAAATACAAATGAGGGCCCTGACCCATGAAACAACATTCCAGGGCAGATGAGAACATCATGTGAGGGAAATCAGAAATTCCTACCCGACCGGCGACCACTCTCTCCTTCACTTATGGCTCAGGGTTGTATTTGGTCTATGGGTCTGCCTCCTCAACAGCTGGACGACTTCCTGAGGGCATGTCTGAGTCCCCAGAATACTCAGCCACTGAGCTCCTGCTACCTGTTAGGACTCTCCTAAATGCTGTCATTTAAAATATTCTTCAAACGGGGCGCCTGGGTGGCTCAGTGGGTTAAAGCCTCTGCCTTCGGCTCAGGTCATGATCTCAG